TTTACTAGGGCTTCCATAACGTCTCGAGTTCTCAGTTCCTCGAGAAAGTGGAAATATCGCGGAGCTTGATAATCGCACATGGCCCAATTCGAAATTAGGAGAGGTGTAATTAATATTTATTGCTCTCGCGAGGTCGATTTTTTTTCCTTATCAAAGAACCGCTCCCTCGGACCCGTAATGACGATTTTCATTGATCGATTTTCTCAGGTGCCACTTTCATATCACCTTAATCGGTTTGGCCACAACCCCGATTGCGTATATATACATACGTAAGATTGCACGTTTGTATGTGGTAATTATTTATAAACGAAGCGGCGCCGTCCCGGATCGAGTCCTTCAATTAAGCCCTCCTCGGCTCGACCAATTAAAATGTCGCCTCTGTACACGAAGGACTCGGGAGCAGTCGTTCCGGACGCGCACTTACGTAAGTGCAATTACGCCAAATTGGAATTGCACACACCGCCCGACTGGTCTTACGCCTCCGTTGAGCCATATTCCTCCCATAATCGTTCCTGAATTCGGCAACCGACGGCCATTTTGGACCTTAAGGAATGACGTCGCGATGCCACTTTCATATCACCTTAAGGATCCCTTTATGACGCTTTTCTCCGAACCGGGTGCACCGAACAATTAGAAACTTACCGAAGGACAGAAATATTCAAGGAAGGCAATTTGGAATTATGGCGTCATTTTTAATATACGGCATCAGAAGGAAAATTAATCGATGCACTGGACTCAAGATGGCCGCCGTTTGTCGGCGCATCTCTTAATGCTTTGGCGCAGGGCTTATGTACGGCATGTACGCGTGTATGTACCGTTCGGCTGGATTACATCCAAGCCATTGTGTACGTACGTGTATGTACCTTTGCATGTACACGTGGGTGATCACCATCGGACTATCGGTTGCACGCAACAATACGACCTACATTGCCGCGAAACTAATCAAATTGTTGGAGCGTGCGCGTCTCCATTTTACGGTCGTACACGAGCATCCATTTTCATAAATGAGACCCGCCTTGTGCTTCATTACTGGCCGAGCTTTTTGCGCGTTGATTTCTGTTAATGAAACCCCCTTTCGGATTAATGCGAGGCATTTCGGGAATTGATGCGCCCGTTGGGTCCCTCGATTATTTCGAAAAGCACCAAAATGGCGCCGACTTCCCGACGCTTGCTCCGAAATTACTCTCTTCGCCCCTTTTTAAAAATATATCATCGCGCCTATATATACATATACGCGCATTTTTCTTCCAATTAAAAGTACCGGGTTTAATTAATTCCCGATAAATGGTTTTATTGTTGCTTCTCATTATCGAGTGACTGGTGAAAATGGACGCGTTAGCAATTTCTTAAGGAGGAAAGATTGGCGACGCGGTCTTTCTTCGACTTCCTTTTCTCGTTCTTTTGCCGAAAGAGGAAACGTTTTAGCCTCGTTTGGCTTAACCGAGAAACGGGGGGCAGGCAACCCCGCAATTTGGCACATTTCCTCCCGGATAATGACACGGTGTCGGTAACTCGTCCCATTTCGCGAACGAGAGGAAGCACGGAGCTCCGAAAGGGAGGAAACCGAGAGAACGATGCTAAAGCTCTCGCGGATTGGAAACTTTACGATCCCGTTGGAACAGAGGACGAAACGTTATCACGGCGGCTTTTTCGCTGACGATCCGTTAAATCGAATCGCCCTCGGCTTTTTTCCACTTAAATTCCGCCGAGTTTTCGGGGATTTTCCGAACCGACGTGTCCGAACACAATTGCCGAGTGCTTTTCCCCCCGGGATTTCATATTTTTATCTGCGACATATGGAATAATATTCCTGTCCGAATATCGAGCCTCATGGTAATCGAAATATCAATACAATGGATAATATTGTTGCAGGGGGAATTGCGCAAGTTTAAACGCAATTTGGATTTTTTTTTTCATCCCCGCGACGAGGGATGAATTTTCACCAGTTCACTTGTCAAAATTCCCGAACGAGAAATAGTACACTTAAAGTGTAAAGTGTTTATAGTAAAGTTCCATAATTTCGCGAGAATTGACGAGTGAAGTCATACAGCGGTATGTCGGCATTCACCTGAATTATTGATTATCGATACACAGGGACCGGAAGAGCTCGTAATGGCAGGTGAAGCAGTAACCTGGGCAAATCCGTAATCCCCCCTGATCCCGTAGTTACTCCGAGCATGAGTTCAGGAATCCTGGATTATCTTTCCCCTCTGCGGGGGGTCTCCAATCGTAAACGACGAACAATCAGGCAGTGCCCTTACGCGAGATTAAATCTGGAGCTTCCTCTCTGCCCCGAGAAGGAAAAAAATTCATGGAACCAAAGAAATGTTTCCCCGAACAGCGCCAAAAGGAACTAATATTTTGATAATTAAAAAAAAATTATTATCTGGCTCCATAAATTGGGATTAAATTGTCATAATTTCGAGGAAACGTTGCGTCCAATTTATTCGAAAAGGAAAGGAGAATGAATAATTCCTGTATCGATAAATCCAATTTCCTGAATGAAAAAAATATAACCCAATCCTCTCGCACTCGTCACGCAATGCAAGCGGATTAAGATACGAGGAAATTAATCGAAAAAAAGAAATGACGAGGTATCATTCCTGACTCCTATCATTGATTTGTGGATTCCCAGGTCTAAATTTAGCACGATGACAATATCCACACGCGACCTTTTTTTACTACGAACTGCCATTCTGCAATAAAACAAATATTTACCGAGAATGAAGGATGCGAAAGAAATATTTCCGCATAATTCGAGGCATATCTTTATTAATCATCGTTTCCAGATTACCGTGAATTCTTGGCAAAGGGTATTGTCGATATCGACAGACAGGAAAATCAGTCCTGTCATGTCATCGGTTCAGCAACACGTCACGAAGCCCTAATGACGTCAATCTCTCGATCGGTTCCTCCACTCGACATTTCCCGATATATATATATCGCCAGTTCGATTAATCGAATTCGGACGAAAGGCGGAAGATTGGACGAACTCGATGTGCGGGGATTTTGCGCCGGCGGAGAAAAAGGGGGAAAGAAGTGCGAAAAGAAGGGAAAAAAAAACGAGTGCAAATAGGGGAGGAAGAAAAAGGTGGAAAACTAACGTTTCGCAATCGAAAACGCTAATCCCCGGGAAAAGGGGCCGCCTCCATTTGCGAGCAACAAAGACGCGTAAACGAGCGAATGGAGGCCGACAAAGTGGAGCTTTACGCTTTTTCGGAAACCGAACGGAAATAAAAAAAAAATAAAAGGAAGAGGAAAAAGGAGAATACCGAGAAATGTGGAAACACGAGGGAGACTTCGGGATTTTTATGGTGTATGTGTATATCGGTGTATTGAGAGGAGGGGGAGGCTCGTAAAAAAAGAAGATATAGGAAAATACGCAAACGGTGTACGAAGCTTTTATTTCCTCGCGTGAAATGTTGCGGCAGACCGCATCAAATTTTAAAGTAATTTCCATGTTTTATAAAGATATTCGATTTATTGGCTGGGATTTTTCCTGAAATTAACAACGGTGCTATGTCACGGACAACAGAAATCCAAGCAACAAATGGGAACGCTTTATCAGCGAATTAGCGTGCAACATCGTGGAAGTGAAAGAAAATTCGGCTTTTCGGTATTTCGGAAACGGAATGGTGATGTGGGTAGTGAACAGGGAACAAAAAAAAAGGGGGGAGGAAATAAAAGTGGAAGAAAGCGAGAAACAAAACGCGAAACACGCCCATCCGCCAGGCGGAGAGAGTGTACCCAGAGGTGGGAGTACCGTGAGAGCGGGTGAGAGGGAGAGATGGGAGTCGCGTGAGTGCGAGAGAGAAGGGGATACCTCAGGCGCCGTATCGACGGAGCCCACCACTCTTTTGTGAAAAACCCCGCGAATGCCCGCGGGCCCATGAAAGCTCAATTTATGCACCTGACACGGGCATTGTTTCTCGATAACAAAAGCAGACACGAGGCAGACATGATCGCGGCCATTGATTGCGGACTCGCAGATATTACTGGGCGATATTTAATATACCGACATTCGCCGGCGGATCATGGCTATGGATTTTCTGGCCTGCAAATTGTAAGGGATGCGCACCCCCGGAACAGCAAGATGGCCCTAATTGGCCATTTCGTGATGAAATTTAGAGGCCCCTTCGGACTTCGTAAACATCCACCCGAATACGTCCAGAGGGTTCTCATTTAATCGACTCGGAATTCGATGCGTCGCCATTTTTTTTTTTCACTAATTTTTCACACCCACCGAGAATAAAATAATTTCCGCAACTCCTTCATTCGTGCATTCTTTATCACTTACATAATACAAGTCCATTGGGAAGAACAGACCAATCGCTACCGAATACCTGTTTGGAGGTGATAAGGCGATAAAAAGCGCCGATAAAGCGCGCGTGGCGCTCTTCAAGGTACATCAGCCCTGCCCCAAGATGGAGGCGCTCGTATAAAAGCGGATGCACTCGGTTTTTATACTATCAGTGTACATTCTTTCCTCCGATGATCGCTGGATATCGATCAGGAGATCTGGATCGGTGGATTTCGTCCTCTCACTTTTTCTTTTTAGGAGGGAAAATGCGGACTTCTTCGAGCGCTCTAGGTTGGTGACGCGAAAATCTCGACGATATTCCATGGAAGAAAATGTCTAATAGTGAGATTATTTTTTTTTTTCCCACGCATTCAGGGAGCTCGAAGCTGTTCCTTGTCTTGGGAATCTGCTCGCTCTTCGCTGCCAATGTCAATGGCGAAAATTGGTGGCAGTCTATGTCGTTATACCAGATCTACCCTAGGAGCTTCCAAGACAGCGATGGAGATGGAGTGGGAGATCTGAAGGGTAAGATTCTTGCAACTCCTTTTTCGGGAATTATCTACGTTTTTTAATCTTTGGAAAGGGGAGGTAAATAAGTGAACTTTTCACTTTTAACCCGACGAATCTACGCTTTTCAGGTATACAGAGTAGGCTTTCCCATTTGCAAAATCTGAACGTCAACGCGATCTGGCTCTCGCCGATCTACAAGAGTCCCATGGTGGACTTTGGGTACGACATTTCGGATTTTCGGGCAATCGACCCAATTTTCGGCACGATGGAGGACTTCGAACAGTTGGTAGAAGCTGCTCACAAATTGTCCATCAAGATCATTATGGATTTCGTGCCGAACCACAGCTCCGACAAGCACGAATGGTTCGAGAAAAGCGTGAAAAGTCAGGACCCGTACAAGGACTATTTCGTGTGGCACAAAGGAAACACCACGAAGGATGGCAAGAAACATCCCCCCAATAACTGGGTGAGTTCCTCTCATTAAAGGATACGAAAGTGGCGTCAAAGAGCATAGAAATAAAATTGAAAAGAATTGATTTTGAAATACGCGAAACAGGTGAGCGTCTTCGGGGGCAAAGCCTGGACGTACCATGAAGAGAGGAAGGAATGGTACCTCCACCAATTCGCCAAAGAGCAGCCAGACCTCAATTTCTTCAACCCTAAAGTGGTCCAGGAGATGAAGGTACGCGTAAAATATTTTCTCCATACGAATTTTAGGGGATGAAATTTCCGAGAGTGAGAATAACGCTGGATGGGATATGTCACACCTTTCGGGAGTCGTGGAACCGATAGAAGACAATGATTGTATGAAATTACGGTGGTAAGTCCTCGATGTGGTCGACGATTTTTTTCTCTGAAATTCTCCCTGTTTTTTAGGACGTCCTTAAATTCTGGCTGGACAAAGGGGTGGACGGCTTCAGGATAGACGCGATTCCCCACCTCTTCGAGGACAAGGAGTTCAAGGATGAGCCCCTCACAGGATCGGACGACCCCAACAGCTATGGGTACACGGATCACATCTACACGAAGGACCTGCAGGAAACTTACGACATGGTGAAGGAATGGCGAAAGCTGATCGACGAGTACAGTAAAAAGGACAACGTACCTCGAATCATCATGACCGAGGCCTACACGAGTGTCAACCTGACCATGAAGTACTACGACTACGGATCGCACTTCCCCTTCAACTTTTGGCTGATCAACGAAATTGTCAACACGTCAAAAGCCGCCAACTTGAAGGAGGTGGTAGACAGGTGGATGAAGGAAATGCCAGAAAATGCAGTCGCCAATTGGGTGGTAAGTGCAGTTAAACGCGATTAACCCTCCCGGACAATAAGCAAATAAGTATTTTGGAGATGTTTGATAAACATCTTGACGTTTCATACGTACAGAATGAATATCTTTCATGTCACTTTAAATTCCTGCAGACCGGAAATCACGACAAGTCTAGATTGGCCACTCGTTTCGGAGAAGACAAAGCGAGAGCAATTACGGTGCTCTCGCTTTTGTTGCCGGGAGTTTGCGTGACTTACAATGGCGAGGAAATCGGCATGCAGGATACTTGGATCTCCTGGGAGGACACCAAGGATCCCCAGGGAATTAATGCCGGGAAGGAGAACTACTTGCAGAGCTCGAGGGATCCCCAGAGGACGCCCTTCCAGTGGAACAGCTCCACTTCGGCTGGTACCAATTTTCTACAATTTCCATGATTTCCATAATTTCCATAATTTTCATAATTTATCACAAGTTTTACAATCTTTACATTCTCCTCAATTCCGTAAATCACGGAATGATAAATATTGCGCAATCCGCGGATGCGGTCATTACTCGAATCACCCGAGGTGCAAATTAACGGAGAGAGCCACGACGATCATCATTTATTCATTATTATGGCTTTATTAAGTTGGATTTCTACCGAGAGAATTATTAATTGTCAAATTATCAAATTATCAAATTATCGACCGACGGTGAATTTCTTAATCGATGCGTTTCCCTTGGGAATTTTTTTTTTGTATTTCAGGATTCTCCACGAATAACGTGACGTGGCTTCCAGTCAATGAAAATTACGTTACGTTGAACTTGGCGGCGCAAATTGATAAGGAGGACTCTTATTACGAACATTATCGCAAGGCGAGGCAACTGCGAGATCTTAAGGCGGTAAGAGAGGGGAGTCTAATCACGAAGTCGTTCAGTGACAATGTCTTCGGTTTTGTCAGGTGAGATCGAGGAAAAATACATTGTTAAGAAAATTTCGAATCGCTGCATTGTTCTCGATTTGTCGATATTTATGAAAAATTATCGAAGAACTTTTTAATCCTTAGAGAGACCGACGACGAGGACGAGGAGATACGAAAAGTTTACGTCATAATCAATTTCTCTGACAAATCGGAACAGGTGAATTTGAACGAGTTTGATGATGTACCGAGCTCATTAAAAGTATATCAGTCGACTTCTAGAGAGGAAGCACCTCTGGTGTAAGTACGCATTCGTGTTCACTGAACGTAATTAATTGAACCCCTTGCTCAAATGAATCGAAATAATCCACGGAAAAAAAAAAAATGTCGATCATCAATGATTTTGAATTTCAATTTTCAGGGATTACGAAAAAGTTGACGTGCCAGCATTTAGCGCCGTAGTTTATGTCGGATCATCTATGGCAGTTTCCCCGAAATTGTTTATTATCCTCATCGCAGGATTTTTCGGCGTTTTCCTGCACTGAGGAAAGGTGTGAATTTCTTTTCAATATTTACCCAGTTTTTCTAGTAATTACAATATTAAGAAGAATTTTCTATATGTTTTAGATGGATTCCATTAGAGCTCGTCTTGAAGTTGAGGGAAACCCATTTGCTATGAACTGCCGACATACATATTTATATACAAATCGCTATGTAAATAAATTATTATCCCAATAATCGCAGGTGTAAATATGATCGTCCGTTTGTCAGAAATACTCCCCCAATACGTCGTGTACCTGCTTGTATAAATCTTCCATGTGAAAGGAAATAAACTTTCATTACTTTATGAAAAGTAATGACTACCCTCTCCCCTGAATTAATTGATAACACTACCAATCCCATTTTCCAATACCAACGTATCGAAAAGTACTATCGATGTGAGTACTCTTCCTCGATAAACAACATTCCCCCCTCCGTTTCTATGAAGTCCGACCAAGAGAAATCAGAATCCCTTATCAATATCCATTTTTACACCCACGATGCCGATGCTCTTATCACACCGAATAGGCGTCGCAACAATTTCATATTTCATGCCGATCTTCCCACGACTCTCGCGATAAATCGCACTAAAAAAAGAAATAGAAATTAAGGTGATCCGAAAATATGATATACATACAAAAAAAAAAACTCAAGTAATATTTCGATAATTAGTACCAACGAACCATTTTATAATAAAAAATAATCTGACTCGAAATTAAACCCGAATGAATAGGATGCGATGTTTCTTCGAAATTGCGCCAATTTATCTGAGTTCATTCGAGTAAATTAATTTAAAAAAAAAAAAAAACTTTTAACTAACGAAATATTCCTTTGCTTCGAATAATGCATTTTTCTCGGTGCAGTCTTACGAGATCCGCTTAATAATCGCGATAACACTGCCCCGTAACAATGTCCGGGAACCTCGGTGCAGGTTTGTTTCTAGATGCTCCTCCGCGCCGATAAGCGTATCTCTAATTCCGTTTTTCTTTTTTCCCGCGCGTTGCAATTCCTATATAAACCTGTTGATCCGTCGAGGAGGTTCGACTCGATGACGAAGATGAGCGCGAAATACATCGTGGGGATTATTTTGCTGGCGAGTTTCGCAGCCGGGGAGATAAAGAACAAAGGATGGTGGAAGAACACGATCTTCTATCAAATTTATCCCAGGAGCTTCCTGGACTCGAACAACGACGGAGTTGGTGATCTGAAAGGTGAGTTAGGGTCCTGTGATCCTCGAGGAATATTCGTTACGTATGATTAAAAAAAGAAAAAAAAAAATTCCATTCAATTGATTTTTTTCTCAGACGCCACCTCCATATCACCTTAAGGTAATGCGAACTTTTAAACGATTCGGTACACCCAGCTCGAAAAAAAATTTCATAAACGAGACCTTTGTGTCATTACACATACGGCGATATTTTGTTATACATTTTCTTTAATTCCCCCGAGATCGAGAAAATAACGATTAAAGTGTAAAAGTCTCGCGCTAAGACAGATTTAATTTCCCTGGTGGAAAAATCGTTTCCGAATCTTCACGACGTTGGATGAAAAATTTTTCCAGCAGCTTAAACATTTTCGTTTCATTAATCGTAAGTGGCCTAATTGGCGTCACGAAGTCGACAATGAATTACCAGGTCTGACTCATTTCCGTGACATAAGGAGTTACGTGAACAGGTGCACGAAGAGTGCGGTTGCACATTGTCGCGCAAGATATCCTCGCGAGTTGTCCTTTGAAAAATTAATTGTACCATCTAATTACAGGTATAACCAGCAAATTGGAGCACTTCGTTAACGCGGGGATCGGTGCGGTATGGCTGTCGCCGATTTTCCAAAGTCCCATGGTGGACTTCGGATACGATATTTCGGACTTTAAGGCGATCCATAAAGAGTTCGGCACCATGGCCGACTTCGAGGCCCTGACGAAGCGAGCTAAGGAACTGAACATCAAGGTGATCCTGGACCTGGTGCCGAACCACACCTCCGACAAACACGTCTGGTTCCAAAATGCACTTGCCGGCGACCAGAAATACCGGGATTACTACGTATGGAAAGCGGGAACCTCGAACAAACCCCCGAACAATTGGATAAGTGTCTTCAGCAACTCGGCATGGACATGTAACGACCCGACAAAACAATGCTACTTTCATCAGTTCGAGTACAGGCAGCCCGATCTGAACTACACCAACCCTGAGGTGCAGAAAGAGATGGAGGTGGGTCGTGCAAATGGTTAAATTAAGGCGATATGAAAATGGCACCCGAGTGTTCAATCATTAAAAAAAAAAAAAAAAAGACCGGGTGTACCGAATCGTTTGAAATTTCACCACGTGAGTATGGAAGCCCTGAAGAAGGTCCGAGCAGTCAGGAAATGTTCCCTTTTTAAATAAAAAATTAATAAAGAAGTTTGAAAAAAAAAAATGAAATTTCACGGGTGTCGGCATCTCCCTTGAGAGCTTCATATTTACAGGAGAGTGAAAAATATTGCAGGCGATTCGGCGCAGCCAGGTTAACAAATAATTTCAAGGAGACACTTTAGCGTCACCCTGAGTACAAGAAGCAACGAATGATAAGAATTATGAAAATTATTCTCGGTAGAGTGTCATCCTGTTTTGGCTGGCAAAAGGGGTGGACGGGTTCAGGGTGGACGCCGTTCCCCACTTGTACGAGGATGCGAAGTTCAGGGATGAGCCCAGATCGAGTGACACCACGGCCACTCCAGCTGATTACACGTATCTGGAGCATATATACACCAAGGACGATCCCAGGACATACGAGTTGGTCAAAAGCTGGAGGAAGGTCCTGGACGACTACGCCGACCAGAATGATGACGACGAAAAGGTATCCGAAGAGGTCCTGCTCTCAGCGGGAGTTCATATTTCATAATCGATAATCGATCGACTCCCCGCAGGTCATGATGACGGAAGCGTACACAGACTTGAAGAATACGACTAAGTACTACAAATTCGGGTCTCATATTCCCTTCAACTTCAAATTCATCACCGACGTCGACAACGAATCTAAGCCTAATGACTTCAAGGGAGTGATCGATTCCTGGATGAAGGAGGTTCCCGAGGGAGAGGTCGCTAACTGGGTGGTGAGAACTCGTCATCCGTCTCCTCGATCAGGATTTAATGGATATGAAACCCAAAGGTGTTATGAAAATAGTCATTCTATACACATCGAAACGTCAAAATGTTCATGAAACTATTCACTAGGACTTCCTCGATCACGTGTTAAATTTTTTCATGATTCGGCGCACGCCAATTTCTAGCAAAAGTTTTATATTTTGGATGATGTATATGGAATGAAGTTTCATGTCACCTAGAGTCAAGGAAAGTTGTATCGATTAAATGAAATGATTTTCCCCCGTGCAGATGGGAAATCACGACCGCAGTCGGACAGCATCCCGGTATCCCGGAAGAGGAGACCAGATGACAATGTTGGCCATGATCCTCCCAGGAGTGGCTGTCACATATTACGGGGAGGAGATCGGGATGCTGGACAAGACCGACATATCCTGGGAGGACACGCAGGACCCTCAGGCTTGTAACGCCGGCAAGGATAAGTACCAGTCCAGGTCGAGAGATCCGAACAGGACTCCTTTCCAGTGGGACAACACCACCAACGCAGGTGAACATGGTGTATTCCACATCCCGTTTCCATTTTCCCCCCAAAAAAAAATCTTTCCAACCAAAAAGGAATACCAATTCTTCTCCAAACCAAGAGACACCATTCCTGCAAAGAGGTTTGCCCTCGCACGGAGGGGAAAAAAAAAAAGTTGCTCGTCTCAAAGAAATATGCATGTGATAACAAGATCCTTCGAACATGTCCAATGTCGATCGGATGCATTTATCCGATGCGATGTCATCCGCAGGGTTTAACAATGGTGCCAAACCGTGGATCCCGGTGAATAGCAACTACAAGGAGCTGAACTTGAAGAATCAGCAGGAGGATGCCATCTCGCACTTCAAGGTCTACCAGACCCTGTCGAATCTGAAGGCCACGTCTCCAGTTCTTCAACATGGCTCTTACGAAGTCGTAGTCTTCAACAGCACCGACGTGCTCGGGGTGATTCGAGAGTACGAGGGAGATTGCATCGTCCTGCTCATCAACTTCAACGACGCCAAAAACGAGACCGTCAGTCTGAACAACCACGTCGGCAATTGCAAGAGCTTCAAGGTGGAGACCGCAAGTGTGGATTCTCCTGTTCAGGCTGGGTAAGTAATCGCAAATCGTTTCCAGTGTTTCATTTTAAAAATTGAATCCGCCCACTTTCACGGCGACCGTAATTCCCCGTCATCAAATTGGCAGATCTTGAAAATGTCCTTTCAATTAATCCGCGAGATAAAGAAACTTGCCAAGATCGCAAGTGTCGTTAATTCCATAATTTTCCCCCGATGGAGCGAAATTTTATTAGATAATATCCGTTTTTTTTGTTCTAGGACGGAAGTGGATTTGCAGGTGACGGTCCCCAAGAAAGCGGCACTCGTGTTATCATCGTCGGGTGCAGCCTCTCTGAAGGCTCTGATAATGATCTCTGTACCCCTAACCGCGTTATCGAGGCTGATCCTATAAGAGTCCGACCAATCTGTGTACATATGTGTAGATGTGTCTTTAGATAAAAGTCCCTCCGAGGAGGAATGAAATTCCGACATTTTTATCGGGGGGTGAATTTCGATTGATAAAGACAATCGCGGGGCGAGTGACAAGGATTTCTTATTTCGCCTAAAAGCGTAAGGTTACCGGAATACATTTAACTACCGGAAGAGGATCCCTGAACGAAGAGAGCAAATTCGAGTTCCTTTGGCCAATCTATCCGTCGGGCCCTCCTAAGGAATATAAATGCGAAGAGTTGGCATTGCAAATCCTTCATTGGATTTTCCAAGTGCGACGGGGAGTCCCTCCCCTGGAAATCTAGGGGATTCCCTCCGGGGGATGCCCTCCTAGGGGAACCCGAGGGAATGTGTTTCGAAGAGGAGGATCGCTTCTTTTCCCTCTCCTAGTGGCGGAAAGGCGTGCAATAAATATATCGCACCATTAAATAATCGACGTGGCCAGCCTCTTTTCAGCGACGAGGGTATTAATAATTGGCAAACGATATGCAAAAATCGAGGGAAGAGAGAAAAAAAAGAAAAAAAAAGAGGGAAGAAATGGCGACGCTTCAACGGCTTTGCGCGCTGCTTGGGAAATGGCGGCACAAAGGGAAAGCAATTTCTCCGAGAGCTGAAAGAGTTGCCGCGGAACTCGGGGAAAAATTGCGGCCAAAGGGGAACGCTTTACCTTTAGCGAGTCGAAAGCTTTCCTTTTATCCGACTGTCTGTCTCTTACGAGGAAGAATAATAATTGAAGGCCCGACCGGAAAGAGACACGGGAAGAATGTTTCGGAGCTCTTGACATTTCGAGGCATCCCTTGAATCGTCTTGATATTTGGACTTGAAGGACCACTTTTTTATACAATGGCACGGATTTTTACATTCCAAGATCGTTCTCTATATCATTTAATTGTCAAGCGAATGTTTCTACATCTTTTTTTTCCTTCAAAGTCCAAAGACCCCGCCTAACATATCCACCGCGTTCTTCCCCCTAAACATGAGAAACGCTTCGCATTTCCCAGGAATTGATTTTTTTTCCTCTTCCCCCCCCTAAATGAAATTTTCGATATTCGTCCCCAGGAACCGGAGAACCTCCCGAGGATTGAAAAGGGGTCCATCCTCTCGCAGCTGCTCTTCCAATAAAATCTCGACTTTCATTCCGCCGAGGCGCGTACAATAAAGCACAATATCGGCGCAGAGATTGTTGAAAGCGAATGGGAAAAAAAAAAAAAAGATGATATGCATCGCCCTTACTTATAATCGTTTGCCCAGTTTGGAGAGAAGCTCTATAAATTATAAATATCAATGACATTATATTTATTAATATTTAATATCACCTTTTATACACACAGTATGTCCCTTTTGTAACACCTTAACTCGTATTTACTTGTGCTCTGTCGAAATAGGATTTTCCTCTTTCTGGGAATGTTCCCTTTCCTCGGTATAAGAGAGACAATGCGAACTAATTATTTTCCTCGTATCAGGGTGCACAGGATTGCGGGGGTGGCTTCAACTTTCGCCATTGTCAATGCCCAGAGAGAATGGGAATTCTCCTCGTGTTGACACGCCGGGGTTTGGATCGAAAGTTTTCGACACAGTTACGTGAAACTTCCGAAATAGACACCGCCTTGCAGACCGATAAGAACACCGATAACAACATATTTCTCTTTAAACGAAGTTACTTCTCACGGAATTCAATAATCTTTTCTCAACGTGGAAAGAAACGCGAGTGCACTTTTCTGAAAGTTAAATCGATTTTCCAACATTGGTCAATTAATTTCACCTCTGCCGATTATCGCAATGCCGAGAGTAATTGTAGCTTGTCGAGGATTTTCGGTAATTTTCAGGATCCACGAAAAGCCCCTCGAAAATTGTTCACGCGGGGAAATGCGATTACCACGAGGAGCCCACTTTCCATTTTTCGAACGCGTCCATATTTAATCTTGGCAATTGAATTTAATCTCTTCATATTATTGCGCCCTAATTTATGAATAATTGCAGTTTATCGGAAATGAATGTTTCTCCTAATTTCTAGGATCCGCATAATTTTCCGCAGGATCGAGAGACAAGAGATTCTTCAGGATCCTATCCCATTAAGGTTATTATCCAATCGAGGTATAATTCTGATTAAGGTTATCCGAGCTATCAGTCAGCTCTCGCGTCCCTCGTAAATCTTAATTAAAGAATAAGTTCCACCCCCCTCTCTAATGCAAGTGAAGAATTTCAGGAAAAAAAAGAGTTTCCCGCAAAGTCCGAGATTGATCTCTCGGAAAAACCGTGAAAATGCGATTTTCAATTGTTAACGCTTTTCGCGGCGAGTAAAATTTCTTCTTATGACTGGGAGTTCTTTTTCTGCCGGTGGGAAAGTTGTCGCAACGCCATGTATTTTCCCGAGGGAAAATCGAAGTCTCTAGGATCGGCTCTGACGGCTTCGTCACTTTTTGCATAGATACGGGGATGAACACTTGTCGATCCTGATTCAATTATACCAACGGGCATGCGGCTGTCATTTTTTTCCCTCTAACCATTTCCCCGTCATCGATCCGACAGGAATTTCGGACCAATAATCGACCATCAAATTTCGGGAAAGTCTGGAAAATCGAATGGAAATATTCCACCCAACAACCCCATTCGGAAAAGCTCTTCGGGATGTTCGACGTCATTGATTTACGTAACGACATGGCTTTAGGTATCGCGGCACAATGGGTCCATTATCATTCACGACAAGCGCAACGAGAGATGCGCATATTTCCCCAGTTATCTGCAATTGCACGGCGAAGTGGCGGTAGGAATTATTCCAAAGCAAAAAAACGTCCATTTACATATCCGGTTATTTTATCCCTTACACTTTGTATGCAAAATTTCACATTTTTAATATTTCACATTTTGCGTTTCGATATTTTACACATTTGCATCTTGAAGCTCACCCCGGTGTTCCGCGATACGTTTCACCTGATGCATGCAACTTTTTGAAATTCCATATTCCATAATTTGAAAAATCGCGACGCACCCTGGACGTGCAAGCAGGGACGGTTCAATTGCGGGGACCAGAGGGGGTGTACGTAGCCTGTACCGAGGCTCTAAAAATATCCAATAAACGTGCGGCAGTATCGCGGTATCGCGTTTCATGCATTTCATGGCGTGGCGGCGCATAGCTCCCCATACGAGTCCATAAAAAAGAGTCGCAAATTTCCCCTACCGTATACTTTGATCCCCATAAATTCGAAAGAAGCGGCTAATAAACCTCCCTCCGCGTCTTGCGATAACAATCGTAAAAATTTCCTCTGCACCTGTCGACCAGTGCTTCCTATCGGGAAATCCTGGAACTGATACGGGATAACTCGAAAGGGGTGCAACCCGAGATTTTCCCCTTAAAGGGGCGAATTTTGTGAAATCTTCAAGCCTCATGAGAACCACGTGGTTCCTTACGACCTCCCATAAACACGTGGTGGAGTGTCAAACAATTCGGCGCACTCGGTTTGGAGAATAGTTCAATAAGTATTGTGACATTAATACAAATAAATTGACCCTTTCGTATCACCTTAGGGTCAAGGGGGGAGTCTGGTTATTTTTCATTGCGTTTTCATTCGATCGGAATAACCTGGAATTAATCGGACGCAACGTTTCCTCGTAATCGTGACGATTTTCTCGAGTTCATTCGAGTGAAAGAATTACTCCTCGGATCGAGAAAATATCTCTTCGGCCACTGTTCGAGGAAGCATTTCTTCGGTTCAATGAATTCTAATTTTTTTTTCCTTTTTTCTTTTCTCTCCCGTAGGGTTAAAAAAGGGGACGTTTAATTCCCCCAGGAAGGTCCCACTTTCCCAGCGATTATTCCCGGATCACCAACTGCATCGTCTCTCCTTCCAGTCCGATTTCCAATATTCAAGCACATTCCCCGAGATCGATCGGACGTAATCCCGAAGCAACCGAGGATGATTAATTTAATTAGCTATGGGATCGATCCAAGACGGCGAGATTATTACCCGTAACGAGAAGGATCACGTATCCCATACGAGAGGCGAATTTGTCGCCATCGAGGGTCCTCACACTTGCAAAAAGATACCCCATCGAATTATTAAAATCGTTTCTCGAGCAAACAATAGAATATGGTCATTCTATGACAACCAAATATTCCATTGATTGAACTTTTTTGGTTAATAACGTTCGGTCGATCGCGTCAAATGTTACGAGGGACCGCGTCAAATCATGACGATTTATTCCACGTAAATAATTATTCTTCGAATTGACAAAATATCCCTCCCGTCGATTTTCTCAAGTGTGGGAAATTTTTCTTTCTCGCGCTTCTACTTTCCCCGATTTATCGTAAGATACTTCGGCGTTTCCAATGGGCGTCGCGACGCCGATGCTTATCACCGCCTCGGGACCGAGTAAGCGGTATCAGAAATTACTCCACGGATAATGAGCCTGTATTACCGCAAATTGGATAAGTGCATGCCGGCGTGTATACGATAATTCGTTGGAATTTCACGTGAGGCGTAATCATCGATTCGCGTGTTCTGCATTCTTCCATTGATCGGTGCAACGAGATGCACGCGATAGGTCTATGCACTCCCCCCTCCTTATTAATCACAATTTCGCAAAACCGACCACCACCATTACCGGATTTCATCGCCTGGATTTTTTCCTCATATTCTTATCTTAATCAAAAAAGCGTTCCAGGTCCGTCACATAGTGAATAATACCTTCATATACGTGCTTCGTGAATTTTTTCGCGTGAATCTTTTTTTAACGGTGCAAGAGGGACTGCGTGGGAAATGTACGTATGATAAAAAAAAATTAAAAAATCATTTGGAGCTCCGAAGAAGTACACGTTGAAGTATGACTTCGTCTCTTGGGAAGTTAGGACATGGACGAGTAGTCGGACGCGGAGGCTGAGGAGATTATGCAAATTCGGAGCCAGAGGCACGGTACGAGATTCGATTTGCCGAGCGCACCGTAAATGCGATGGAATATTTGAAAACAGTAAATACATTCCACGGTAGGGATAAATTGAAGTAAGCGAGCCGATCTATAACATCCCTTGTCGAAAACCTCAGTTTTGGTTTCCTTCCGACCGATTAAAAAAAAAAAATTACGGAATAATAAATTTA